TTGGAGCTTCAGAGTGCTCTCACTTAAAAAGTTCTCCCAGGAAACCACTGCCGTCTTCGAATGTGCCATGAAAATTCAACAACGGACTCACGGATTCGAAACTTTAATTACTGGTAGTTACATATGCTGGTACACAAGGTTTTACTATGTCCTCGTTTTAGCGTAGCATGACACCGTAGTCTGACATATCAAGATCGAGGCACTATAAGGACAACCTCAAGCAGAAACTGATCGTTATCCAAAAAGTGGGCTTGAGTGTATATTACTGCGTAGGGAATATTTTTTGGAAACAAAGAGTAGACTGATATTGGTCTACAATTTCGAGATGGATATACTAGATTGATAGGTCTAGTTGAAAAAAGCTAGGTCCTGTTGAGTTTATGAATTATTATGAAATGACACGACAACCTTAGTCGGCTGCCTAGTCGACTTTCCATCGGAAAGAAAAAAATGGACCATTTAGAGCCTTGCCAGAAAGGTCTGCTAGAAGTTAACTAGACAGGTCAATATGATGTCCGTATTTTCTTTGATCTTTCATTTCGGACTGCGCTCTTAAAAAGAAGTCGCCAAATAAAGTAATGTTTCTTTGCGAGTCAGCTTTATTTCCCCCCTAAAGTTAATATCGAATATGGAACACGTTTCCAGTCATACAGCAAGGAGAGAGGCAAAAACTGAACCCTCTTTTGCCTTTAGGATGCCCTGCACTCGAAATTTATTCACTGAATCATGCTTATAATAATAAATCTGGCAAAATGAAATCGATTAGTAATTAACGCATGAAAATAAATAATGCCAGAGGCAGTAGTAGGTTGAAGTGATCGATTGAGCTTAGGTATCGCTTACCCAGAAATTTGTCGTTTTTAACCAACTCGGCGTCCCAGACCTGAAGTGACAATTCACAGGGTGCCTTCACTTCTACTGACTCCAAATCAAAGGGTCCCTTGACCCGATATACAATCGAATCTTCCTGTCTCACATATTCGAAGGGGAAGATAAACCGCCAGTTGAAGTTGCCCTCCCCGGAGAGAGACCTTAGACAAGGAGTCAAAAAAAGGAACAAGGCCTGATAAGCGAATTAGCACTCCAACCCTGTGTATGGCGGGAAGGCAACAATGACGGAAGAGAGAATAAGAGACTCGCATCCTAGTTTTAAATGAATCGGGTCAGATGTGAGTATTGCAATTTGCGCTTTAGTGATAGCGAGCGGCTTTTTACAGTTTGCGTCTCCAGAGGAGTCTGAAAACGGAACCTTCCCTAACGTACGCGTCGGATGTGCGTCTAAGGGCAAAGGCCTATCCTAACTTTCGATGTCAGACCACTGATCACAGTCGGCTCACCGGTTCACTGGGGCTGGATAAACCAATTCTAGTAAATAGCGAAACAGAGAATCTTCTGACGTTTGATGAATTCTCGATTCTTAGAAGACGTTTTACTACTATTTTTCTTTCTCCATTTGTGTTCTGCTGGCCTTTGGTTCCAATAGTACCTTTGCGAACAACATCCATTTTTGGCAGATAATACTGCCGACAAAGACAAAGAAAATTGGAATGGTCATTTCAGGCTTATTAGTCGTCAGTCAGTCACACTCAGCCCCAAGTAATGCACCACTAAAGGCGCAAAGGCGAGGGCCCAAGGCAAAGTTGGAGCGGGACAACTGAGTTCCATTAGCGGTCGGTGAACGTATCAACTAATGTCAACATCCCTTTTATTTGGCCTCCACAGATGAGTGCCTTGACTACACGACTCCAGAGATAGTATTAAGAGCACGCCTTTAAAAATCTAAGATACTACCTTCGTCCAGTCAAAGAAATTGAAGAGAGCCTTCTTTTATATAAATTTAGTAAAGAAAGGATATTCTTCGTGTCTTATTTTTGTATGCCATAATTTACTTAATGGAGGCAACTAAAATAGCAGGAAAATACCCAACTTGCTTAGTTGTTTGTGTCTCCGGGGGAATTTTCCCGATCCACTGAACAAATGCTGATTCAAACTCCTGCATTTTCACTGTGCGTATTTACCAGCAGATTAATTTTTCCGCTAATTGCACTCGCAAATCCACAAAAGTAACACTTTTAACGGAAAAGCGCAAATATTTTTTTTCCACGAGTCACGCGTTTCGATGCGCACCATGTACAAACATATTGTATAGGTACCCACTATTTACAGGTAACAATTTTACAAAAAAACTTCGGAAAGGTAATTTATAAAGTTTACTTTAAGGTTAAACATGATAGTTCGACAAAGAACGAGACCACTGCTTGAAAGGAAATTGAGTGGGAAATAAGAATGACTTCACGGACTTACCGATAATGAACGTCTGTCTTCTGGTCATCGAAACCAACACCTTTCATCCAACCACGGACGTAAATGTCGGAGCTGCGTTCATTCGAGAAAAGCGATGTGTCGTTCAGGACAACCTACAATAAAATACACCAAGCATTGCTCAACAATAATTCGCTTGTGGTAAGCGATGGAGTTTAAAACTGTCTCACAAACGGTGCACTGTGGACGTGTGCGTTAATCTGTCTATAACGCTGCAGGCTTTCTCTGCATCGATCTCACTCCCTCCTTTGAGAACTACTGGACACTGATGGTCCAATAGAAGTGTAATATCGGGGCATGGACTTACGGAAATTAAAAAAACCCCAAGAACGCCATATAGGAGGTCCTGAATCTGGCATAAGTGAGAGTCCACAAGAGGGCACATTAATTAGGAGTCATTAAAGTATGACTATCGTTCCAAGGGAGGACCTCTACTCTCGTCGTTGGAGCACTGCGAGTGTTGGAAGCGAGTGAGGTATAAGTTGTGCAAACCTTCATCTCTATACACCCGTAGCGACCTTGTATTTCCTAGCCATGCTTTGCTCACATGCCCCGCGTGTCTGGCTCTCGTGCGCGCCCCAGGTTGTCAAAACCTCCGTTCAAGGTCACCCCCTGTCTGGCCTCACTGGCCAACCACTTCTGAAGACCAGGAGCTTACTGCGGGGGAGTTGTTTACGCTCAGTCACCTCCAGAACCGACGATCTACTGTTCGGTTGTAGTTGTCTGGACCCGGTGATCTACTTGCCAGACTGTGCCTCTGGACTCCGGCCCATTCATGGCTGGACTGAACTTGTCTGGGAGTCAC